TTTCTAGTGGAGTTCGAACTTTCACTCATCTATTTCTAGTGGAGTTCGAACTTTCCCTCATCTGTTTCCAGTGGAGTTCGAACTTTCACTCATCTTCTAGTGGAGTTCGAACTTTTACTCATCTGTTTCCAGTGGAGTTCGAACTCAGCACCTCGTCTGTATTTCAACAGTTCAGTTCAGGGGTGTTTTACCAACTGAGCTAGGCCAGCTGGTGGGCGCGGCAGTCCTTAGCGGAAGCCACGTGGGGGGGGGGGGGATGTTTGGCCACTGCCACGTGGCCGCGCGGGTGACACCGGCAACGATTCTTGGCCGCGAAAGGCGCACACTTTCGTCCGACATTTACGCAAGGAAAGGAGGAGGCGGCGCAGGAGAGGAAAAAGGAGGAGGAGAAGGAGGAGGAGGAGAAAAAAAGAGGAGAAGGGTGAGGAGGAGGATTTTGTTCCATTTCTCAGACGAATGCAGCTCTTTCTTACTCTTTACGTCTTCCTTACCTCTGTGTGTGTGTGTGTGTGTGTGTGTGTGTGACAGTGTGGGACAGTGTGGGACAATGTGTGACAGTGTGTGACAGTGTGTGTGTGTGTGTTGTCATGTTTGCTGTAGACAACGCCGCAAAGAAAAAAAGCATGACTGTGACAGACTGATTCGTCGGACTTTCAACGACTCAACTGTCAAGAGGTTGAACATGGACAGCAATTCTAGCCAGGTGCATTTCATTGATGGATAATAAGGACTCGCCATGTCGCCCAGAGTTTTTTTTTGGGGGGGGGACGGGGGGCCGGCATGTCGCCCAGAGTTTTTCATTTTCTTATTTGGGTGGGGGACATGTCGCCCAGAGTAGGCGATGACCACCCTTGAGAGAGAAAAACACAAGTCGTCGGATTTAGGACGTAGTTGCACTTCTCGCCATCCGCCAACATTTTGAATGCATCGGGACCAATTTAAATCCGCATTCATTCAAAATGTTGGCGGATGGCGAGTAGTGCAACCAGGCCCTTACTCCCGCCAATCCTGCGATCCCTTTTTTTTTTTTTTTTAATTGGGAACAAGGCCCCAATCTATTCGTGGGGAGCAGCACGTGCTGGGAACCGGGCCAATCCTGCGATCCTAGCAGACTGTCGGTCCAAATCCCAATGGCAGCAAGTCGACAAACTAGTCTGTCACAGCCGCACACACACACACACACACACACACACACAGAGAGAGAGAGAGAGAGAGAGAGAGAGAGAGAGAGAGAGAGAGAGAGAGAGAGAGAGAGAGAGAGCCAGTAGCTGCGGGATGTAAAATACAGGAGTGCAAAAAACTATTGCCATGGGGGAAAAAAAACAGAAAACGCACAGACACATACACAACATCGCAGTGACGCTGTCAGGTGACTCGTGTCAACAGTGGAAAAAGAAAATTTGGGATTTAATTCTGAATCTGGACTTGTTTGCGGAAAGATGCAGAAAATTGCGATTTTGATATGCTTTTCTGCATCTCTGCGCAAAACACATCCAGATTCAGGAATTACATCCATCCATTCCTCTTCGCTAATGGGACCAGACCCCAGGAAAGTGAACTGCCGAGGCAAAGAAGGCGTACAAAAAAAAAAAACAAAAAAAAAACGGAGTTTTGAAGTTTCGTTTCTTTTTTTTTTTTTTGGGAAAAGTTAGCACGTTTCATTCCAAAACAGGGACAGGGGGCCGGGGGCCATGTCGCACTAGCAACGTTGAGCTACCTCAACGCCTGAATCTGGACGTGTTTGTGGCGACGTGCAGTTCAGGAAACTCAACACCATTTCTGCACATTTCCCCAAAAGCGTCCACATTCAGGCGTTGAGCTAGCTCAACGCTGCTAGTGGGACTTGGGCCCCGGAATACACCCCAACAATACAACCCGGTACAGAACATGCTCGGGCCTTTACCCAGGTGTAGGCTCCTGGAAACCGGGTCCAGTGTCCCATTACGAAAATTCCTTCCACAAAAAAAAAAAAAAAAAAAAAAAAAAAAA